CTTGGACCACACGGAGCCGGCATCTCGGCAGGAATTGCAGCAAGAGATTCCTTCCTAACAATCCTTGGACACACAACAGCCAAACAAATCCCCAGTTTGGGCTTTTTGGCTCTTTTCTAGCCCTTAACCCGTTGCATGTGTGACTATTGTGCAAGCCCTGCTCCTGAACAAGCAGAATTCTCTTTTAACAAACCCAGCTTGCACAAAACCCAGAATTATTCCTCGCTGGAGAAAATCTGCCAACTTCAAAACACCCTCTTCCACTTGGACTCAGCTCGTATTCATCGGGAGAATGATCAGGGGAGGAATAAATGCACATTTATGGTTTGCTGAAAGCTCGGAGACATCAAATGCTGCTCACACTTGGCACGTCACTCCCAAATATTTGCACCCAGCCCGTTCTCAAGGCAATTAAAAACACCAAATAAAACCCCAAACGCTTTTGTTGCCTTCTCCTTTTTGGGTTTTTAAACATCACTCAACCTCTCTGACCCTGGATAAGCCATAGGAGCCCCCGAGTGCAGCTGCTCAAAGCAGAGCAGCCAAATTTCAGTGAAAATTCCACATGGGGCAGCTCCCAACACTTTACAGCAACAGCCATTTAATCCAAGTTTAATCCACGCTGCCCGCATGCACACGGAGTTTTAAATTCACATTTCCACTGGTTTATCCCCTCTCATCCTCCAGCTCTTTTTTCCATCCTCATTCCCACATCCCAGCCACGTTTCCTCAGCTCCAGCAGCAGCTCAGCTCTCAGCCCCCTCCCCAACACCTTCTTTTTGCTTCCAGCCCCCCAAATCAACCCTTTTAATCCGCTGGTTTCTGCCTTTCTCCCTCAAAAGAACGACTGACTACTTCAGGAAAAAATCCTGCTGAAATCCATCAGTTTTCCCTGGAATCACCACCTTTCCCTGGGCTCCATAAGCATCTTCCCCGAGGCAGCGGAGCGTGGAAGGACCAAATTTTGCATCGTTTCACACCAGACGAGCCCAGCGACTCCAGGCATCTCTCCCTGACTAAAAAGTACAGCGAAAAACTCCGCAAAGTAAAAACAACTTCCCACTCTCCCAGCTTCAGTATTTCGGGATAACGGGATGCTTTCCCCACGCTGTTCGACCTGGAGCTGTTCTAACACAGGGATCAGCCTTGTTCCCTACGTAAAGCGATTAACGGGCGCTTTTTCCTAAAATTAGCAGCTTTTCCAGGGCTGGATTCCCGTTTGTAGGGGCTCGGTTATCCCTGATCCGTGATTCCCGTGGCTCCGGGAGTCCTCGTACCAGTGGGAATCCCCTTGGAGGTTTAAAAATGGGGATTTTGGAGCAATTTTGCTGCCTGGAGCTGACACCAAGCCTCCCGCGGATCAAGTTCAGCTCTTTCCCCCTCTTGGGGACACAAACGCACGGATTTTTGGGGTTTTTTTCTAAATAAACACAAATCCGCACCGATTTTTCTCCGTTTTCGTGTCCTCTCCCCGCTCCACCACGCTTAGCACGGAGGTTTAAAGGGAGTTTTTTAAGGGTTTTTTTTCCTCCCTCCCAGCAAAGCCACGACCCCAAGCACCCCCCTCACGGTCCCGGGAAGGGGGTATGAGGAGGTGGAAGGGGGTTTGGAGGATTTTAGGAAGGGGATCTTGGGGAGGATAAAGGGGGGTCTGGGGAGGTGGGAGTCGATCCCGAGGATGAGGGGGATAATGTGGAGAGGGGAGGATGTTCCCTCAACAAAGGGAAAGTTGCGGAGCCGCCGAGCCCGGCGCGGGGGTCCCGCCCGCACACAAAGGCGGCGACCCCCGTGATG